CAGGCCCGCTGCTGGCGCCTGAGGCGGCGTGGCGCGGTACGGTGTAGCCGTAAACGCCAGTCAGGGGAGTAAGCGAGGGGCTGGATGCCCGCCGGACCCTGGAGTTAGAAAGCGAGGGCCCTTTCGACTGGCTTCTCCTCGGAGACCCAGGGCCTCTCACCAGACAGTCTCGCTCTGGCGCCGAATTTTTCTGAGGTGAGGCCGCCGTGTTCATTGCAGGATGGTTAGTAGCGTGCAAGCCCAAAATGTCCCCAACGTTGCCAGCTGACCACTAGTCTCCAGTCTCCCCTCCCCCATGAGAACGATGGTGCTAGGGTGATGTAGGCCAAAAAACGTAATAGTAGGATCCATTGGTCTCCTGCTTACGTGCCTAGACAGTACTAGGTTGAATCCATTGGCAGTACAGCCAACACTTACTGAACTTGTGTAGCAGTACAGCTCTGTGAAGTGGGCATTGGGAGATTAAAAAAAAAAAAGACAAATGAACAAAAGTAGCGTCACGTCCTTAAATCAACGGAGGAACTCTTTGAAGACAGTGCAAGGCTCTCCCACCTTTGGTGCTGGTACATTTGAGCACCCAGAGGTGCAGCCAGGGGTGGGAACCTATGCCCAGGCATTAGGTGGTAGAGTGTCAACCCAAGTCAGGTTTGATTCTGGTTTTAGAAGTGTGACTATTTCTGCTGTCGAAAAATATTAGAATGTAAGTCCTGTAGAGCACTGGTTAAACGGCATTTGGAAAGACAGCTACTCCTGCCCTAGGTGGTTTGGTTCAGTGGATAGCACGTCGGCCTGCAGACTGAAGGGTCCCGGTTGGATTCCGGTCAAGGGCACATGCCCGAGTTGCGGGCTTGATCCCCAGTAGGGGGCGTGCAGGAGACAGCCAATTAATGATTCTCCCTTATCATTGATGTTTCTATCTGTCTCCCTTCCCCGTCCTCTCGGAAATCAATAAAAATATATTTAAAAAAAGATAGGTACTCCTGCCTTTTTTACAGAACATAATTAGAAAGCCTTTAAAGCCCATGCAAAGACTATTTTATATAACGTCTTCGAATATCACATTCTACGATGTTAGAACAAATTACTTGTATAAGTTATCATTTCTTTACCTAAAATATACATATTTGGATAATTTGCTTTCACAACCTGGAAGGAATGGTATGCCTGCATGCTTCTAAAAAGAATTGTATACAAAACTCATACCCCATTGCAATTTTTTTGTTTGTTAAAACATAAAATTTTAATCTTAAACATAAATAGCCAAGGATGTAACATGCAGAGTATCATGAAAGCACACATTTTAAAATGTTACATTACTCTTTTAATAGTATTGAAAGAAATCTAAATTTAATGACAATTTGATACCTATCAACATTTATTTTAAAATACATGAATAAACTAAAAGATGGAAATTTTTCTTTTGCTTTTTCTCCTTAAGTTCATAATTTTATTTTTATTCTGCATTCTCCACAGAATTTTATTCTAATATCCAGGTTTTTCATAGATGTAAGCTGAGATACCTTGTTCATATAAAGATGTACATGAAAGTGGTTTTGTTATAGCAGTCTCTTAACTTTTTAAAAAACTCCTTTTCACACCAGAAATCACATGGTGATCAACAAGAAAAAAATTAATGATCTATCAGCTGATAGTTTGGTTGGGTCCTCCTTTAGTTCTATTTGAAAAAAGAAAATTTGAAAACATCTATTTAGCAGAATGTTTTCCACTCATTAAACCTTTCTCAATTTCTGAGTATACCAGTCTTAACTAAGATTCACTAAATGATTAATTAAACTTCTTGACTGAAAGTACATTTTCATAAGTACATGTGAAAGTTGGAAGATCTGATCACTGATTTCCTTCACACTAATCAGGCCTGCATGTTTTAAATGTACTAGTAATCACTAATGAAATCTACAGGTAAAAGCCTGCTAGCATGATTGAGTAGAAACATTAAGGGGTGAGTGTGTTTGGCCAGTTTATAAAAAGCTAATATAGATTGAAGCAAGATATCAGCAGTTCTTGTACAGTATCTCAGAGTTGGCAAAGGGATGTTCCCAAAACAGAGAAAAATTGGGTCAGGAGGTATATGGAAACTATACTTTGTACTCAATTTTGAGCCTAAATCTGCTCTTAAAAAATTAAGTCTATTTAGAAGGGAAAAAATACTGATGAGGGTAGGTGGTCAGTACTAAAGCCATGTTGCAGGAAAAAGATTTTAATCTTGATGTAAAGGGAGGGCCTTTTATGAGGAAGGGAAATGTGTGATTAAGTCTGAAATAATAGATTGTAGAGTAGTAATGAAGGCAGTTATAGTTAGCATGATTGTTTATAAACTGAAGGTAAGCAGTACATTTTATCAGCCCCCCCAAAATTGGGGAAATTTAGAAAAATTCAAAATTTCTATTTTGCCAAGTTGATCTGAAATACCAGCCTCATTTTCACGTTAGCATGCCTATGCAGAGCCCCCTAGTGGTTTTTCATTAAAAATACTGTCAACTGGCCCTAGACATTTGGCTTAGTGGATGGAATGTCTGCCCAGGGACTGAAGGGTCCTGGGTTTTATTTTGGTTAAGGGCATGTACTGGGTTGCAGGCTGGATCCCCAGCCCTGGTTGGGGCGCCTGGCCTGTGGGAGACAACCAATCAATGTGTCTCTCTCACATTGATGTTACTCTCTCTGTGTCTCTTCCCCTCCCTTCCACTATCTTCATAAATCAATGGAAAAATATCCTTGGGTGAGGATTAACAAACAAAAAATACTGGGAGATTTTACAAAACTGCTCATCTCTTTCAGACTACAATCACTGATGTAATTTCACTTTAGAAAGGCCATTTGTTAAGTATTTTTTTTAATAGTAACAGTTGCTAAAAAACTGATAAAGAGGAAACCAGGAAATGTGAAAATCCTAACCATGACTGCCCAGCTTTTTAACAATCTCTTATTCTCTCCATCACCTTATCTGTAAAATGGTGGTAGCTATCTACCTCTGGTTATTATTATGAGCATTAAAGAAGGTAATATATGAGAGCACCTTCAAAACAAAAAAGTAAAATGTATATAATTACCCCTTTTTATTTCCAAAGCAGATAGTCAAATTAATTACCCTGAATAATAATTACACAAACAGAAAGACAATCATCCGGGGTATCTTGGATACCTTCTTGCTAAGGGTACAATGATACAGCTCAACAGTGATATGGCCATTGGCACTGTCTTGGAAAGAATGGTTTCTGTCTGCTGAGGAGCAGGAAAGATATGTTATTTATCTCCCTACTCCCTCTGGAGTCTCATTTGCTGTTTATTTACCATTCAAAAGGTGTTAGTCAGAATACTTTCCTTTTCCTCTAGTAACAAGGAAAATGATGGAGGAATTCGTGTGCTCTTGCTGTGTGAGTACACACATATATATTAGGTGTACCGGTTAATAATGCGGATTTTGTAATCAACGAAAACACAGTAATTTCAAGAGAAACATCAAAAGTGCTTTATTCAAAGTAATGTCCGTCGCTAGCTACACATTTCCCCCATCTTTCAGGTAATTTGTGGATACCACCCCAATAGAACTTTTCTTGTTTTGAGGCAAACCATTCAGAGACCCAACTTTCCACTTCTTCGTATGTTTTGAAGTGCTGCTCAGAAAGTGCGTGTGCCATCGATC